GAGAGGAGGAAAGAGACGACGAAGCGAGGAGCGAGAGGAAGATTAGAAATATTTTCAACGCAAGCGTACTTGCCTTCTAAAGCGGATTACAAATTACAATGAGATATCGATAATTGTTCAATTATCAAATTATTTATCAACATTATTCTTGTTCACTCGGACGGATGATAATATGAGCGGAATTATCCAGACAATGATTTTCAATCAAGTGCGTGTCTTCTCGGTTCGACAGATATCGTATGTCTATATCTTGGAATGAGAATTGATCGATGTATCAGGAATGCTACGACGACGAAAATAATTCGCGAGTGCAAAAACGGTATTGTCTTTCGTTACTCGCGCGAATCATTCGTTAAATTAAAAATGTCGACAGATCGTGACGATGCACAGGGTGCAGATTTAAATAGATTTTGCGATATGAATGGCGGTTTCTCACGCGGATAATACATGAATCTTTTGTGATGATCGCGGTATGATCGGTACTATATTAATTGATATCGATCCTGTCTATTCGATGGAGCGTGTCGAGTGGTATTGAGAATGCAACCGCAACACGAGTCACGACGTGAAATCATTGCTGATTGTTGCTACCAGCAATGGCCGGCGCATCATTATCACCATCATCATCATCATCATCATCAGCACCAGCATCTATCCGCTGTACCATCACCAATGCAGCAAATGGAAGGTGAGTTACCGTTCTGTACTTACTTTTTTTAAATGTTACCTTGATGTAAACTTATTTCTCCCGATAGTATAAATTTTTCATATAAGAACATGTGTAAACACACACACACACACACACACACACACACACACACACACACACACACTATTCACGTATACATATCTTATTTACTTACTTATTTTTATTTATATGTTTTAATATAAACTTTTACATTTTTTTTCACATATTACACTTTTTACGTATTATCGTATTCATACACAATGATTCGGATATCGTTATTTGTTATGTCTAAAAGCGACGGAGATACTAAAGCGGTAACATGCTTTTCCCGATTGTTTTCCTTTGATCTTCCTCTAACACCCATGTCGTGTCATCGTTTATCATTGCATTTTGTAGGTAATATATAATTTTTTAGTCTTCATAAAGGAATATATAATTTTTTAGTCTTCATAAAGGAAATGTCATGTTATGATGTCAAATGATCAAAACGTAAAATGTGATGTATGATGTGTTCGTTTCGCCATACGTTGTTGACCGCTCCAGTCAAAAATTTTAAAATGCCTTTTAAATTTTGCCTTTTAAATTTTTATCTTTTAAAAGCTAACAAAATTGAACTAAAATTGTCAAGTGCAAAACGACAAAATTCAATAAAAATAAAGAAAAGAAACCCTTTACAAAATTTTACAAAATCTTATTGGCTTTAAAGATCTTTGAAGTATCAGCAAAACATCCCTTGCAATATTCTCGTAAGTATTCTCGTAAAGCAATAACATTGTGCATCTACGAAATGACTATTATATAGAAAGATTTATTATGTAATACGAATGTCATTCTCTTTTCATACATCACATACATCACATTTAGTGTTTTTATCTGTCAGATAATCGTCTCGCATCGTTTCCTCCTCAGCCTGTTTGCAGAGCGCCGGAAGAATAAAGAGATCTCGTAGTCCCAGTCTTTCGACGAAAATTATTTTGCCAGTCCACTTGGCAAATTCGATTTCCTCACCGGCCACAATGGAAACGCGTAACGATAGCAACAATAATAATAGTCATCACGGTGACCATCATCCGAATGAGGACAGTGGCGGCGACGGCAGCGGCGGCGGCGGCGGCGGCGGTGGCGGTGGCGGCAGCGGCGGTTCATCCGCGGAGGAATCAGGCGCGAAACGACCGCTCCATCCGGCGTTGGTCGGCGCCGGCGCCGCTCTGGAAGCGAAGCCCCTCTGGGAGGAATTCCATCAATTGGGCACCGAAATGATCGTTACGAAAGCCGGACGGAGAATGTTCCCCACGTTTCAGGTGAGGATTGCTCGCGATTGACTCGACAGACTTGCCAGAAACGAAATGCCGCGAAGCGATATGATATACAGAGAGGTTTTGATAATCGGTAGTGTCGACTGTTCGGCTTGGATCCCAACACGGAATATCTGATGGTGATGGATTTCGTCCCGTGTGACGACAAGAGATATCGATACGCGTTTCACAGCAGCGCCTGGGTCGTAGCGGGTCGCGCCGATCCCGTATCGCCGCCCAGGATCCACGTACATCCCGACAGTCCCGCGAGCGGTGCTCATTGGATGAAACAGCCAATTTCTTTCGACAAATTGAAACTGACCAACAATCAGCTTGACGATAATGGACACGTGAGTTGACACGTTTTTCCTCTGTTGGACCCCGTTGGATTATTCGCGATAATCCATTTCTACGACCATTTCTACGTTATTATAAGCTATGGAGAACGTTCTTCGTTCTTTGATTCAAATACATTTATGCACACACGTATAGGAACATTTTATATTAATGTTTGGCAAATGTATGTACATGTATGTACACGAGTTGATTGATATACGACCATCTTCCACACCAGCTGTCTCCGTTTCAATTATTTTATTAAATATATATATATATATATATATTTTTTTTCTCTTAAGATTTCAGGATTTATCAAATGTTACAGAACTCAACAATTATACCATCTTACCTTCATTTGCGAAAGATGAAATATATTGACACATTTAAACAAATAATTGGAAATCAAGTCTCTCCTCCTCTTTCTTCTCGAATATCAAACATTGATATACGAAACAATGACTTCTGAATTAGAAACAATCATAAAACTAGAGATATAGACCAGAGATATTTTCCAAGACAAATATATATATAAGTTTTAATCATTATAATCTTATCTATTAAACTTTGTCTCGTGATATTCTCCTCGCTCGGATTTTACATGACGCGACGCTGCTTCATCTACATAAAGCGCGTCTACGTAATAAAGTAGAATGAGAGATGAGAGACTTTCCACGTGTTTGCCGTTTACGCACGAGTTCGTCTTAATTGACCTGAGATACGAGCCTGTCACTTACAAGAAATTACGGACAGAAATGGCGCGACGTGACGTTTTCACGGGTTGTTTGTCATTTATAATTGTAAAGATGCCGCTTGCAGATTAATATATCTCGCGTATCTCGCTGAGATTTTCTTTCTTTTTCACCAAAGAAAGAATTTGTCGCGTTATTTTAAAATAACTAGCGACCCATTCATAATCGATATGTGTCATCAGAAACAACTTGCGATCAAGCAAGTGCCTCTTGCCTCCTTCTCTCAACTTTTTATTTTATATCGTTAATGTTACTCGTATCGCATTTAAAAAATTGAATTTTTCTCAAATGTTCTTTAAGAGTTCTTTAAAGAATTAGGAAGAAAAGAAAGAAGGAAGAGGTTCGTGAAGAGATTCGAATAATCGTCAAATGATCAATCAAGTACGTTTAAAGTTCAACGCTATTCGTATCGAAATATCGCTCGAAATATATTCTGTCTGCGATGCATTAATCTTGCCGCGCTGTCGTCGCGGATAGACGCGAGAGTGTCGTGTATATAAGGTAACGTAAACAAATGTAATGTAAACTGTATGCGCGCGCGATCTATAGGCCCTGGGAAAGAGGTCGTACTTTGTAACGAACGTTATACCGAGAAAGAATTAGCAGCGGTCAGCACGTCACTCTTGACGACGTTGCGCGACGTTGATCTTGATTTGAATTTCGATTGTGAAATCTAGGGAATGGTAGCGCTTATTCAGGCATAATAATATAACTTTTCACAACACTTTTCACGATAATTCTTTTTTCTCGATAATTCGCCGCGATACAAATACGAAAATTGAAATATTATAGTATAAATAATTTTTATCCTAACAGGAGACGCGATAAGAGCGGAGTTATCAAAATTGAAGCGAGCATTGTTGTATAAATGTTGGATCGATATATTTTTACAAAATTGAATCTGCTATAGTGTTAGTTTGAAGAAATTTTTCAAACTATTAACTTCTAGTTTGAAGAAATTTTTCAAACTATTAACTTCTTATCGTTGCACATTTTATCTGTAAAAAAATACTCTCCGCGACAACCGTACTTTGGGATAATACATTATATATATATATATATATATATATATATATATATATATCTCTTCT